ATGTTTGAGTGCTTACGGGCAGGAGCTGGCGAGGCGGCACAGCCCACAGGCAGGCTTCCTCATCAGGTACATGGGCCAACCATAAGCAGCCAGGGCAAAGAGCATATAATAGCACACATCCTTGTACATGTTCATCTCAGCCTGAGAGAGGAAAAGGCAGACAGATGGACAAACACAAACACACACACACACACACACACACCCGCTTGCATCAGAGCAACTTGAGACATCATTGAGATCTTCAAATATTATTTCAGTTGAGCACATACTGTGTTTGCTGTTGGTGTGGTATGTTTGCGAGCAGACACACTAACAGTGAGACACGTATACTGTTCACGCTGCAGAAAAAAATTCTGTCACACCAAGAGTTCTCATGGGACTAATCGTTGAACATGATGCAAAACCACTGTGCCCCCCACCATGTACACTGAAATATAAACAAAGCTGTGATTTATGTAGCCAATATCTAAGGGATGCTGAGACTACATCTTAATTTGTCACAATTTCTTCCATTGTAATTTGAACTGAAACACCTTGAGAAAAATAACGGCATCCTGTGAAACCTTTATTATAATTGCCCTCTCTTTGTGCAACATGTGCAATAACTTTGCATTGACAAAACATCTTTCAAGGGTAAATATGACTCAGGAGAGCTGTATAGAACAAGAAATGCATGTCTCATTTCTGCAATGATTTTATCAATTATAACTTTCATAAGAGTCCATGTGGTTTGGAATGAGATTTAAAAACAGATGTCAACTTTTTGAAAGTGCGTCACACAGAAGAAACTCACCGAGTTCTTGAGGTCCAGGTATCTAGTGTTACGAGTGACAGGCATTCCTGATAAGAAGGCTAAAATGTCATTGTTGGCCTTTGGAAGAAAACCAACAAAGACATTATTAAGATCAGAGTATTTAGAAACATTTTAAACTACATATTTTTGCATATTAAAATAGACAGTAATACCTGGTCCAGGATAGATGATCTCTTAGACCTCTGTCTCTGGCGGAGCAGTACCAGACCAGCAATAATGTCACTAGGCACAATGTCCAGGTCTCTGAAGAACTCTGCAAAAAGGCTGGCCACCTCTGAATACGCATCCTGAAGGAAGAAGCATAGATCAGAGAATGCTGCTAGGAAAATGAACTACAAAAGCCAGCAAAGGACGCATGTTGTGAGCATGTTATCTTTTAAGTGTTAATTGCTTAGTTCAGACTACACACTATTGCCAGTAATGACCAGAAAGGCGTAGAGACCAAAAATTAATGTCTCTGATGTCATAATCAGGTAAACACAGATTCAGATCACTGGTGAGGTTTTGGATTAATACTAATACCTTATACCAACTGATGAATACCAATATACATGATCATAACCAGGTTTTTATCATCAGTCACATGGCCACCTATCCACTGGAGCTACCTACTCGCCAATGAACTGTATCTTTAAATCCATCCATCCATCCGCTTCCGCTTATCCTTTTCAGGGTCGCGGGGGGCGCTGGAGCCTATCCCAGCTGTCATAGGGCGAGAGGCGGGGTACACCCTGGACAGGTCGCCAGTCTGTCGCAGGGCCAACACACAGGGACAGACAACCATTCGCACTCACATTCACACGTAGTGACAATTTGGATTATCCAATTAACCTATCCCCACAAGCTGCATGTCTTTGGACGGTGGGAGGAAGCCGGAGTACCCGGAGGGAACCCACGCAAACACGGGGAGAACATGCAAACTCCACACAGAAAGACCCCGGCCTGATGGTGGAATTGAACTCAGGACCTTCTTGCTGTGCGGCAACAGTGCTAACCACTGTGCCGCCCTATCTTTAAATGTTCAGACTACACACAATTTTTTTTTTTTATTTCATGACTTAAGATGTGCCAGGATTGTAATCAGAAATACAAACAAATCTCTTCACTGTACATGAGATTAGCTTTTTGATGGCAGCTTGTTATCTGGAATTAATTTATTTCACATTTTTATTTCACATTAAAAGCTTAATGTCACTGGTAAGCAGCTGAGCAGAGCAGCTCTATGCCACAGTCAAGATCAATCCAGTCAGGGCTTATTCTAATGACTGTCTTACTGAACATTATACACAAGCAGTGGTTTTATTCCTTTATATTTTCAAACTCAAGGAAAAAATGTTAAGTGTTTTGTTTTGCGACTCACCGATTGTGTATCTTGGGCTCTTGTGCAGCACATGAAAAACTTTAGTCTCCTGCTCCAGCTGCTGGCTTGGCCTTCCTCTAGCCTGTGTCTAATCAAGGGGGAAAAAAAAGAAGTTCTTTCACAATTGAACTAGTGTTCGAAAAAAAAAAGAAAAAGAAATGGGGTGAAATCTGATAGGTAAAATCTAGCAAATATAACAAAGAGATTAGCGTTTCGACCCCAGCAGCCTGTTGATACCTGAGCGTGTAAGTAGTGAGGTTGCGCTGACGCCGACGGGTTGCCTTCAGCTTGACAAAAGTCCGACCCGTGGGATCAAAAGTACACATGAGGGTAATGCAAACGCTGAAAATTACCAGCCAGTTGCATACAACAATTCCTGCAGAGAATATTAAAACATTATTCAAACAAAACCCCTTCTTACTTAAACCTTTCTCATTCTCCTTTATATCCACGTTTCACTCACCCAAAGCCAAGTTTTTGGCAGTGACATCAGAGCACGGTTTGTAATACTGGACAAGCCAGGCAATGCCCACGACAGCATACACGAGCTCAACCAACAGAATAGCTGGAGAGAAAAAGAGGGAGAATGTGTGAGGACACTTATGATCAATTAGTAAATGTAAAAACTATACAAACTAAACAAAAAAGTAACGCACCACTTTCAATCATACATAGCGTCAGGACGCAAAAAAAAAAAGCCCCAAAAAACCAAAAACTTTACATCTCAGCATGTCTTACCTAGCCGTATGTAAAGGACATACTGTACAGCTTCCCTGGGCTGTGTGTACAAAATGCTGCCCCTCATGCTCAACCACATGATGGCGCTCTCACATATAAGGCAGCTGACCAGGATGCCCAGGTACCCTCGGCCATGGTCCACCAGGGTTTCCGAACAGGACTTGTCTGAGCCATATGGAAGGCCGAACACAACTACAGACAGAACCACCAACCTAAAAGACCGGAGTAAGGAAGCAATCACACAGATGCTTTTCTTCAGAGATCTACAAACCAAACACTAAAAAGTTAAGACCCAAAAAATAAATAAATAAATAAATAAATAATAATGTCATTTCTGCTGAAGAAACACTGACTCACCATATGCAGTGCAACAAAAACAGGAAGAGGGCGGGCAGCACCAGGTCATCACTGCCAACTGACCAGCGCCGCCGAAACATCACCATTCCAGGCATCACTGCCCTGCAGGAAAACCAAAGGGAGAGGAGAAACATCAGGGAAAGGAACTCTGCTTCATTTTTAATTCACTACGTCTAATTCAGTCAGCATCACCTTGCATGGTGCACAGTATACAGGAAATTTCTGTCTTTAGCTTCAAAAAAGAAAAGCCACAATGAAAACTCTAAACCAACAATGAACACAACACAACACATGCATCTCTGAACTAAACAGCATTCAGATCATGCCAAGCTCAGCATCAGCAGCCACACAGGGAAGTTTCTTTGTCCTGAATCCCCCACCCCACCCCCGCCCCGGTTTCTTAAATGCACTGCATGCTAAAAGTGAAGAAGGGCTGTGGAGATAATAACACAACAGACTTTTCACCGAGGGGGAAGAGTGACAGATAATGGAAGGTAGAGACGAGGAGATCGAGTGGGTGAGGGAGGGTGCAGTGTACGTGTAAGACTTGATGCATAAAAAGGAAGAAAACCAGCTGGAACATATGATGTCACCATTCTGGTTGTAGCCATGTGAAAGAACATCTTTTATGTTATTCGGGGTCCTCCTTTGTTGCACAAGCACTGCAAGATTACTCAAGCTGCTTTGGGCTAAACTGAAATAAACTATAAAAGCAGTGGAGGGAGGTAGAGGGCGACGCAGCTTTCAGTCAAAGAAAATATGCCATCCATTATGACAAAACCATTAACTGTAGTACATCTATCAGTGTAGTGAGTGACTTAATAACTTATGAAATGAAATATAGTTTTAAGTTTTCTTATTGGTCCCGTTCCAGCCCTCCTCTGCCTTTTAGTATTGTTTCAGAACATTTGTTTGAGTTATTGAGAAACTGGCAGCACCTCCTGAGATCACCTTTAAAAAAGCACAGCAACAATAGCTGATAAAGTCTTATTGAATCGTGACACCAAAAAATAGCAGAGAAAATTGCATTATATCCTGCTTAAAGGTTAACGTAGGAATGTGCAAAGAGATCCAGCTTGCCAAGAATAACTACTGCAGCAAAAAGTACAGTTGGATCATAAATGAACACAATGGGTTGACAACTCAAATGAATCACAGAAAGCATGCATGTGTACTAATGCAATAAAGTTTGTTCTAGTGGCAACCAGTCAGATTGGACCGAGTACAGGCACAACAAATTGGTGGTGCAACAAAATTCTTCATTTGGCGTTCCTTTGTTAATATTTTCCAAGTTTTTTCACACCTCTGTTTCCTGACTTTTTATGTGTGGTTGTAGCTTTGCACATGACTTCTGCTTCACTCCAGTTAAAGTTAACTGGAGAAAATGCTTACAAATGTTTTTTGCTTGATCATGTAGTGCCACAACCGTCGTACTATTAGATCTTTAAGGTAAAGTCGACGCATGCATCCACCGCATGCATCCACCACTGTCACTTTAACAAGGTGCCGAAAATACAGTTTAAGAACATTAAAAGAAAAGCTCCCTCTCTGCTGAACACTGACACTGCAAATAATCACATTTCACAGTGTCCTCTCAAATACGGCCTTTTTACTGTAAACAACAAAGAAGTATGCACCTAAAAACTTCTTGACCTAATAATGATGATCGACTCACGAATATTATTTTCTGAAAGGACTTCCTTTTAACAGAGATTATCAAAAGTTGTTGCTGTCTTGCACTAAAATGAATAAGGATTTTAAAAGAAGGAGGAAAAAAAACCATCAGCACTAATAATCTTAAGTGGTATTATAGAAGGGTAACTGTCAAATTAAATGTCAAAGACTTGAAGACAAGTAGCCTCTTCAGTGATCGTCAAAATAGTTTACTCCCATGCATTTTTCCCCTTTCATCCAATTCAGGACCGCCAGGGTGCTGGAGCCTATCCCAGCAGTGATGGCAGGGCCAAAGGCAGGGTACACCCTGGAGAGGTCGCCAATCAGCCACAAGGCTAATGAAGAGAACCGCCATTTAACCCAACCCCATCCCTGTTTTGGGGTGGTGGGAGGAAGTGAGTGCACTCGAAGAGAACCCACTCTTTCATATCAAAATACTACAAGTGTTATAATGACTTCCTACTGTAGTTCAGCGCGTCACAATGAAAATGAGCCATCCAGCTAAGCTCAAGTTGTGAAATAAGCTTGAAATACAAACAATTCTTTTGCATACAACATACAGTTTGTTTGTGATTTTTACTTCAAAAAGAATCCACCTAATTACCTGTGAAGGAAGAAATCAAAGAAGAAGAAAAAAAGCCATTCATTGAGCCATTTGTGCAACCACCTACATAGCTCTCAGCAGGGATGTGTAGTATTACACAAAACACTGACATTTTCTCTGTGCAGATCTGGAGGTCTTTTTTTGTTAGACAAAACCTTCACTATTCTCTTACTGCACAAGTAGTAACACAAGAAACACTGTTGTCAGAATGGATTCCCATGCCCCCTTCTCCTCTTTTAAGTCTGACGGACCTTTAACTCAGAATAAAATTTAGGCTATTCACAGTCTAATAGTTTAACAATAGAGAGAGAAAAGTTCCCCCTTGTGTTCATGTTAAATCTACTTCAAACTAAATTAGTCTTTTACATCAATTTCCAGCTCCATATTCCAATAAGGAAAAACATAACAGGCCCTCATCTCAGACTTTTCTACACCTTTATTCAGTAATGAGACCTCCCATTTGGTCCGTGGATAAGTACCCTTTGAGCTTAAACACCTGCACTGATTTGCATTGTCTGAATATAGATCAAAGGTTTTCCTTATTGTTTGGAACAAACGTAAAAATACTAGCCCACACACTCCTACAATGTTGTAACGTTCCTTTATCAGATCATCAACTGGGATTAAATGCAACTGCAAAAACAAACAAACAAACAAAAAACGGAGAAAAAAAAATACTAATGTAGACAATTCCAGTTTACAAATGATGAGTACTACCAAAAGTGAATGCAAAATTCATGTTCCATAATTGACTTGATCTTTCATAATCATATACCCATAATGATAATGAATCCACCTTTTGCACAGATTTAGCTTTTTGAAGGCATGTAGATCTAAACTTTTGATCAGCTGTAAAACAGCCTGTTTCAGTTTAAGCGTCTTTTCACTAAATTGCATGCTCAAAAATTTTTTTGTCTCACTCCAACTTCTTCTTGTTCCATATTGATGATCTACTTGGAACCTTGTACCGAGTAGGTACTAATGGAAAAGGGGCTTTATTGGCAGAGTGGGGACCATATCTGAGGAGGCAGATCTTTTACATGGCTGGTGTGTAAAGGTTTTTACTGCTTACAGTTGTGGTAGAGCAACCAAACCTAGTACTCCCATTTCTTCTTGTTGCATGTTGAAGCTTTACTTGGAAACTTGTTAAGATCCAACCATGCAAAATATGATTATTTGCCATTTTTTAAGTGGTCTTCAACTTTGCATCAGGACTGTATGTGCAAAAGCGATCGTGATACAGTTTGAAATCCTGGAACAAACCATGAAATTCTCACTGCTGCTGCCTTTTCATGAAAACTGATTGAACCCAGAATCTTGTCTTCTTTGTCTTGTTTAGAAACATCAGGACCAGCTCAACGCTAAATAATATCGACTTAATTTTTTTCCACAGTGTATTATTTGACAATTAATTTCCAGCAAAAACACATACTATTCATTGTGTATATATGTTACACAGCAAGTTCAGATCCCAAAAAAATAAGGAATTTTGTGTCGCTTTTTTCCAAAGTGCTCAGTGTGTAATGGCTTTAAGGCTGGGTGATTTGAACAAAAGATCATATAATGATACTTTCATCTCTCATGTGACTGTATGAGTTGTTGTACATATGACTGCAAGGATGTAACCTCTACTATAAGTTCAAGATCCAACTTAGGAAGTGCTGCATCTTATTTTTGCTCCAATTATATTTAGAGATTTTGGTCCAAGGCGACATGACAGCATCCCACAGGTGTTGCACATTTCTCAGCTATAATCCATGATGTGAATTTCCTGTTTCACCACATCACTGAGATCTGGTGACTGTGAACTCACGGTCATGTTCAAGAAACTAGTACCCTCTGGTCATAAATGAATGCCAACTGCACTACTCAAGTTACCTAATGAAGTGACTGGTGAGTATAATTAATATCATCCACAGAATTTAACCAATAGTGGATTGCATGCCACACTGTAAGGCCATCTGACTGCCCACCCCTTCACAACAGTGTTTCCAGCGCCACCAATAACCAGATTGTGGCTGTTTCCATGATATAGCAAGAGCTCAGAAGTTTTTAATTTAAAGTTCATCTTCAAAACCTTATAAATAACACACCAAAAAAAACCAAAACCCCAGTTATTTCTTGTGAAGTTGGCAAAATTATTACAGTGAAATTTATGCCCAGGAACAACTAATTCCTTCAGTGTTTCAGTGACACAAAAATGTTTTCACAGCAACACAGCCTGAGCTGTGCTGGCACAGGATTACAAAGAGGACAATGCATCAAAGCAAAGGGGTCAAACCAAGAGCAGTAAAATGTGTGAAGGTTTTGGTTTCAATCAAAGCATTACAGCAGGTGGTTTCACTGATTGGCACACTTAACGTTAGACGACAGACAGCACAGTGAAATCAGCTGCTGTTGTGTTTGGCTGAAAAAGTTTACTCTCAGTCTTTCACAGCAAATGGTGTGATAGCCTGAATGCACAGTTTTGGATAAATGCAGTAAATATTCACAGAAAAGGAGACAATGCACAAAAAAGAAAAGGCAACACATTATTCTAAAAGTCATAACACAAATGCTGATCTGCAGATTCCAGCTTTTATAGCTATTCAGTCTACGAAATGGCTCCTCAGCTTTGTGTAAGAGAGTGAGGGGAAGCAAGAAAATGTAAATTGACCCATTGAGTCATCTTAGCTCTAGTTGTGAAACTCTATCTGGGTTGGAGCGGCATTAAAGAGGACAGTGGAAGAAGGGAGGGAGAACAAAAATTAGGGGACAGAAATAAGGAAACATCTGAACTCCCCCCCAAAAAATCTCATTTAGGCCAAAACAATCAGGCCAGTAA